AAAAAAAAAAAAAAAAAGAAGAATCGGACATCGTCCCCGAGAAAAATAGGGGATAGAGTGAAACGTGCCGAGTTTAACCGACTATGGTGAAAATGGAAACTCTGTGTACCTGTCATAATGACCATTAGATTTTCGTTCCAGTGGTGAGCCGCGTTCGACCCTCTTGATTCGCAAGTGAAATGCATTTTTCTATAGCACTTTCGAACCATTGCTTCCAGAGATCGGTGAAATAGAATTTATACAGCGACGAAGGAAATTTATTAATTTCGAAAATTTGTAGATTTAGAAAGTGGAATTGTGCACGTTTTATTCTTATGGGAAAGAATAATCTTTTTCCTAAAAGGGAATGAAGAAAATAAAATGTTTTTTAAATGAATAAATATAAATAGGATTAAAAGAAAAAAAATTAAAAAAAAAATAATTATTAAAATATTATTTGTTAATAAAATATATCAAGATTTATATTTTAAGTGTATAGTATGATAATATTTTTGTTTTAAAAGAAACAAAAAAAATTTAGAAAAAAAATTTTATATTATAAAGATATATTATAAAGAAAGTAAATCAGATTTGAATAAAATTAGATTTTTGTTAAGAATTTTTAATTTACAGGTCTGGGTGGATGCAGCAACGCAAGTGTTTTTCTCTCTTGGACCAGGTTTTGGTGTACTTCTGGCTTATGCAAGTTATAACAAATATCACAACAATGTCTACAAGTAAGAAATATATGTATACTTAAACAAGTATATTTTAATGAAAATTAAATTAATATTTTAAATTAAATTGAAAAAAAGATACAATTTCACTTTTCAGATCAATCTATTTTCATTTATCATGAAAAATATTTTCAAGATTAAAAAATTCCAAATATTTATAATTATGTAATAATAAATATAAAATTATTTTTCTGAAGTGTTCAACATTTATTTTTCCAGGGATGCTTTATTAACCAGCTTGATAAACAGTGCAACATCCTTCGTTGCTGGTTTTGTGATATTTTCTGTATTAGGATACATGGCACGAGCAAGCGGAAAATCCATTCAGGATGTAGCGACTGAAGGACCTGGTCTAGTGTTTATCGTTTATCCTGCTGCCATCGCTACTATGCCTGGATCAACATTTTGGGCACTCATCTTTTTCATGATGTTGCTTACATTAGGATTGGATAGCTCGGTATATATTACATAACTTTTCATACAATTTCCACCAATTATATAACAAAAATATATGTTATAAAAAATACGAGACAATTTATAAATTTTTTTAATGCCAAGAAAATTATTAATATTTCTTCTGAAAATGAATCTATTTTTATTTAATGATATAATATAATATTAAGCTTTATACCTAATTTATATTGTAATATTTTTATAACTAAATAATATCATAAAATTAATATAATATTACTTTTTAATAATTTTCTTAATAATATTAACTCTGTACTTCATTTCTATTATGTATTGCAATATAAATTATAATATATTATAGCATAATCAAACCTTTTCTTATAGTTCGGAGGTTCCGAAGCGATAATAACTGCTCTTAGCGATGAGTTTCCAATTATTGGAAATAATCGTGAAATTTTCGTCGCTTCGCTTTTCACGCTATACTTCCTTGTCGGTTTAGCTTCATGTTCTCAGGTAAAATGATTTATAAAGCATTATAAAATATAAAATATAAATAATGAAACAGCATATAAAAATAATTGTAAAATGATATTTTCAAAATCTAATTAAATATTTTTTAATTCAGTCATTCTTTTTCCTATAATAAAAATATTTAAATTAAATGTAATTAAATTATAATAAAAAAAACTAAACATAAGAGTATTATTAAAATAATATAAATTTTTGTTTAATTTTTTTTTAATTAAAAATATATATTCATTATATTAATTTTTATTTACACAGGGTGGCTTTTACTTCTTCCACTTGTTGGACCGATACGCAGCTGGATACTCGATGCTGTTTGCAGTTTTGGCGGAAGCGATCGCCATTAGTTGGATCTATGGAACAGACAGATTTTGTGCAGATATTAAAGATATGATTGGATTTTCACCAGGAATCTATTGGAGAGTCTGTTGGAAATTCGTTGCTCCGATATTTCTTATGGTAAAAATAAAATTTATTGAGATTTTTTTTTTATTTAGTTTTCTTATCTGAATTTGTAGAAAAAAGAAATTCATAAATTAAAATTTTAATAAAATAAATAAATTAAATATTATTATGATACATTATATTTTCTTAGTATTTTATCGTTCTTCTTCTTTTTATTTTTTATTTTGCAATTCATAAATATTCATATTTCTAACTTAAGAAACCGAATAATATTTTCTATTATTTTTAATTCAGAATTATATTATAATCTTATTATTATTAAATAATAAAATATATATATAATATTTATATATAATAAAATATAAATAAAAATAATAAATCATTTTAAAGTATATATGTGAAAAATAAAAAAAAATAAAATCATTTTTATAAATTAATTCATTAATATTATTATAGTTTATCATCGTTTACGGTTTAATGGGTTACGAACCACTGACTTACGAAGATTACGTATACCCTGTGTGGGCAAATATATTAGGCTGGTTAATTGCGACTTCCTCAATTGCGATGATACCCGGCATTGCAATTTACAAGATCATTATCACACCCGGCAATTTTATTCAGGTATCTTAATTTTCATGCAATTGTTTTTAAGTACATTCTTTTCAATACTGATTTGAATATGTTTAAGAAAGAAAAATTAAGAAGGACCTGTAAAAGAATTATAATATATATATTTACCTCAGAAAGTAATATTTATATTTTAAAATACATAACTATGACTAATACATTATATACATGTAATTAAAATTAAAAGAAAAAAGAAAAAGAAACAAGAAAATAAACAAAAATAATACAATAGTGTATACCTGTAATACCTGTTTAATTACTTTAAACATGCATATAATGATTAAAAGCATTCAACAATTAGGGCTTGTAGAAATTATAAAATTTAATTATATATTTAATTATATAAAAAATAGCTTTCTTCTTATTACTTTTATTACTTATTACTTATATAAACAAATATATATCTATTAAATTACAGAGATTAA